GGGGGGGCAGAAAGAGGAGACGAAAGCAGACGACAGAACATTGCAAGAGAGCAGGAAATGAGGTGAAAGGAGACAAATTTAGAGAAGAAAATATTTCGGTCGCTACCCGGATTCGAACCAGGGACCTTTTGAATGAGATGCCAACACCTTAACCTCTAGGCCACGAGAGCCCCCGTAGCTGGTGAGGCAGTCCAACCTCCCTGAATCCTTCCCAAAGAGATGCAACCGCTGTATTGTTGCTGTTTTGATGATGATGCGTTTTGAACATGAATAATTGAGGTCGTGTTTGTTTTTTCTCCTTTTCTTTTACAGCAAAGTGTTTGTGTGTAGTGTTGGTGAAATCAGGCGCTTGGTAAAGTTATGAAATCAAATTTTCGACTTTTAATTTTTTTAAATGATTTTGGGCCCAGATTTTACGCCACATTTTATTTCCGTCTGAAAATAGATTTCTGTATGGATTTCACTGAAAAATATAGGTCAAAGGCACACAAAAGTGTAAATTTTCCGTATCAAAGACCTCTACAGCTTTGAAAATCACCAAACTTTGGCAACTATTTTCTCGCTCATTTAACCCCTGACACAGTCAAACCCCAGCATCTCCTTCTATCGGAAATATTATGTTGAGCTCTATTAAAGAGAGTTTGGTGTTTTTCGCATTAAAAAATCATGACAATTGCATAAGATTACGCCAATGACTCCATAGTATGCTAAAACTGACAAGCGCCTGATTTCACCTTGTCGTCACACATTTGTTTTTCTGCAAACAAAACCAAACAAACAACATCGAAACTGCAACAAAAGAACAAAACAAAAACAACAACAGAGGTGCCCAAAAAACCCCCACAGAAAACGTTACGACTTTTTAAGTTTTATTTTAGTAAAAAATTGTCATAATATGTGTTACCAATTTTTATAAAATTATAAATATAAGATTAATTCTAAATAAGAATTGGGCAACAAAAAATATATTATAGTAGTAAAATCACGTCAGTCTTAGTCTTTGCCCTCTTGTTTGCTCATGCAAGGACGGTGCCAGAGTAGAAGGATAATTCCACAAGTTACTTCCCCTTGCTCGTTGCGGCTTGCAGTGAAGGGTTCACAGTTCAAGGGTCATTCTTTCAGGGTCGAAGGCCGAGGGTCGAGTCAGTAGCGAGGGTTGGGCTCATAAAGAACAGTTCTGGAGTTCACCTCATGCGCCGAGTCGGATCTGGACAATTAATGGTGTAAAAACGAAATGGTATAATATAAATGAAATGACATCGATTTTTCTTTAGTCTAGTAAGAGTTTTATGGCACTTGCAACACAAATAGGTTGTTTACAGGAAAAATAAGGAAGGATGTTTTTTTTTAAATAAGAAGGAGCAAACCAGACCGGAGCACCCGCCAACCACCCACAGGTGTTACAAGAGAGCAACAAACACAAAAAGAAGGAAAAGAGTTAACCCTATCCGTACGTCGTGTTTTTCTATCGTATCCATACGACGTGGGGAACTCTGTGCACCATTTTCCAAAGACGAAACCTACTCGTTCATCCGACCCGTACGCTTTACATAGCAGTCTGTCAAAATGATTTTTTGAGAAATACTTAAAGAGTCAAAGAGATCTTCCTACTAGAAGTATTCAAAAATGTGAAGAATACAACACCACGGATACAAAATGACCCCACGGCGTACGGATAGGGTTAGCGACACAGTATGAGGTCTGATGAGAAAGAAGAAGTAAACCACACACGAGCACCCGCCAACTACTCACACGTGTTCCAACACAAAAAGAAGGAGGAGAGACAAGGATGATAGATGTTTGATTAAAAAATAATAATTAAGCATACCACACCAGAACACACAAAAAGAAAAGAAGAAAGAGAGTTCAGAACGTAGTATACTGACTGATGAGAAAGAAGAAGCAAACCACACACGAGCATCTGCCAACTACTCACACGTGTTCCAACACAAAAAGAAGGAGGAGAGACAAGATTGATAGATGTTTGATTAAAAAATAATAATTAAGCATACCACACCAGAGCACAGGCAAAGAAAAAGAGAAAGAGTTATGGACGTGGTTTGATATGTCTGAAGAGAAAGAAGGAGCAAACCACACCAGAGCACCCACCAACAACCCACATGTGTTACAAGAGAGCACCAAACACAAAAAAAGGAGGAGAGTTAGGGACCTAGTATGATAATACTATGTCTGATGAGAAAGACGGAGCAAACCACACCCGAGCACCCGCCAACCACCACCAACCACGACGTCATGACCTTCGGTTGTTGTTAAGTCGCCAGAGGGCACATTTTTCTCCGCACGTAACATGACTCCGAGCCGCCAGGTTCCCATGAATATTTCAGATGGCGTATAATAATTCCCCGACAAGAAAGCAACAGAGTGTACATTTACGAGCCAGCCCCTCATACTAAGACATACATGAGGCATCGTGATCAAATCAGACGCTCGTCAAAATAACGAAATGGAAGAAACCGATATTTCAAAGTCTGTTGGACTATATTTATCAAATGTATTATTCTTTTAGTTATTCATCAAGCTCTTCACCATTTATGTATAATATCTTAACCCTCTCCGTACGCCATGGGGGTCATTTTGCACACCAGGAGTTGTATTCTGCGCATTTTAGAATACTTCTAGTGCGAAGATCTCTTTGAAATTCAATATTTCTAAAAAAAAAATCATTTTGACTGACTGCTATACAAAACCTAAGAATCGAAATAACGAGTAAATTTCCCTTTGGAAAGTGGTGGCACAGAGTTCCCCACGTCGTATGGATACGATTGTAAAACATGACGTATGGATAGGCTTAAAACACAGTTTTGTGTTGATCAAAGAGACAGATATAAATGTAATTTTAACGTTTCCAAGGACTGTACAGCTTTGGAAGACATCAAAGTTTGGCAGATATGTTCTCGCTAATTTTACTTTAGACACAATTCGACCCCCACCTCCGTCAGCCGCAAAAATATCTCAACGTCTATGTAAGATAAACGGTTGATTTTTTTCATGAAAGTCAAAAAAACTATTAAAGTTATTGTTCTAATAAACATTAATTTTCGGCTCTTACAACACAATAAGGTTATATATTAAGTGTCGTAGATTAGAGTTATTACAAGAGAGTAACAGTGGGTGGTTGGCGGGTGCTCTGGTGTGGTTTGCTTCTTCTTTCCTATAAAACATCTATCGTCCTTGTCTCCCCTCCTTCTTTTTTATGTTTGTTACTCACTTGTAACACATTTAATCTTCTGGCGCTCATATGACCTTATGCAGTTGCGAGGACCGTAAAACCTCTACTAAAACTAAACTAAAGAGACTAACAAACACAAAAAAGAAATAAGGAGGAGGAGAGATAAGGATGATAGATTATATTTCTTAGGAAAGGAGGGGCAAACAACACCAGAGCACCCGCAAACCACCCATGCCAGACATCAGCAAGCTTAAAAATGATATATCAGTAACTCACTCATTCTGCCCCCTAAAAACAGACGAGCGCCTGATTCCACCGCGTCGCGACACGATTATCATTTTGCCCAAGGGCAAGGCCAGACGTAACACACAACTACTCTGCGGTATCGAATAAGCGGCCAACCCCCACCCCCTCAGCTTATTAA